CTTTTAGAGATTCCCCCTTTTAGAGATTCCCCCTTTTAGAGATTCCCCCTTTTAGAGATTCCCCCTTTAGAGATTCCCTCTTTTAGAGATTCCCTCTTTTAGAGACTCCCCCTTTTAGAGATTCCACCTTTTAGAGATTCCCCTTTTTAGAGATTCCCCCTTTTAGAGATTCCCCGTTCCCCGTTCTCCGTTCCCCGTTCCTCGATTTCCCGTTCCCCGTTTTAGAGATAGCCAATTCTGAACCTGTTGGCCGACAGGAGAGCTGATGATGGATAAGATCTGTCGCTGTTCTGCTTCGTCGCCTTCCTCCCAGTCTGCCAATGAACGCTCGCTTGTGTGGCCTGTTACACCGATGATAGCACTTCTTGACTGATTCGAGGCCTTCAGCTTCTTAACAAGCTTTTTTCTTACCGAATGGTTGGTTAACTTTCTTCCCTCTACATCCAATTCCGCTTCCAAGGCCATATTCTTCATGGAGTCGACCTTAATGACACCCATCCTCTCTTTCCTGTACCACACTTCGGATTTCGGTTTTTCAATAATGGCGAGATAAAACGGGCCACTGTTTCGCATTTCTTCAGGTCAGTTGACAAGATATGTTTTGAAGAACTGGACTGGACAACGGGCACCACTAGTGGCAAACATCTTTGGCTGGATGGCTCTTCGTTTCTTTCTTAGACCGCCTTGCCGGGTCTTTGTTGGGTTTTCTTCGAGTGTTACGTACTCTGTCCCTTGGTCGTCCTTGTTCAAGCTGAAATCTTCGACAAACATTTCATGGTGCTCTTGGCAACCTCGAAAACCAAAATGAAGGGTGAGCAGATACCACAGAGTATAAAGGAGTGACTTTGGGTTTTGTTCGCCAGGTACACGATATTTCCATAGCTAGCTCTTCATCTTGGACGGTAAATAAGTGCTTTAGTTGCATTAGGTCGTTTTCCGTGGCCTTTTCGCGAAGGGCTCTTGCTTTTCCCTCCAGGACCTGTCTGCACTTGACGAATTTTCGTTCCTTTCCTATGGATATTTTGTTGGCATTTTGTTTGAGGTGCCTGTCGAGGGCAGCTAACATAACCCTTTGGCTGTCCGGCTCATAGTCGGAGCCATCGCTTTTGCGAATTTCGGCAAAGAATCGCGAGAGACATTCATCCAGTTCTTTAGCTTCGTATTTGACAATGTCATCGTTAAGATAAGACCCTTGCTTTCTGCCCACGACTTCCTAACATTCATCCACGTCTTAGTAGTTTTGACTGTATTTCTGTTTACTACTTTTTCGGCGAGCTTTTCTATTTCCTCACAGGAAATTTCCGGGAACCTTGCCGCCATTTTTTTGAAAACAAAAGCAAAAACGTAATCTCTGTTTAGTGTTGACATGGTAACCTTGTTGTACCATCCATTTTTGTTGTTATACCACTATTACGCGGAAATAGTGATACTATCAACCAATCAAAACGCCGAAATTTCTCGGCTTATATTATAATTATTATTAGTTATTGTTATTAAACGCTGATGTGGATTTGCATGTCGATTTTGTATTTTTCAGTTTGGATGTGTTTGTTCGCGAGCTTAAATTCACCGGACAAAGCAAAGCACTTGTGTCGGACATAACTGCTCCGTTTACAATCTGTATTAAACACTGGCTCCGAGTCACACCTACTTTTGCTAATTTGCAAAACAAAGATGGACGATCCCAAAACGGCCCTAGTTTCCAGTGCAACTCGGTTTGAGCTGTAGCATTCGAATGTAAAATCATAACGAGTTGGTAATTTTCCTGTAAAGACCCCACGTTCAGTTAATAAGTAGTTAGTATTTTTGATACATTTTGAAGACCGGAGAATACATACAAGTATGCTTTGTGCGTCAGTGCTTCTCAAACTCATTAATAATTCATCAAGTTTAGACAAAGGAAGTCATCACCGTGACGGTGTTTGGAAATCTGATCTTAATTAGCATAGATTTTTACGATTTTATTTCTCCGTTTTCTCCTTAGCTTTAGTTTCGCTTGAGAAAATATACCAAAAACTCAAGACATGTTTGACCACATTTCTAAACACCTCGAAGTTCGTTCCGCTGCACGTCGTATTTTCAACTCTCTTCTCGGTGTTTGGAAATGTGGTCAAACACGGTCTTTCGTGTTTTATATATTACATCAAAATAGCGGCTGGCGGGATTCGCTCATCGCAGACGAAGCCGATATCTCCAGTCCGTGTTTTTGTGTGCAAACTTGGTGCTACCTTTGTGTACAGCATCAAAAATTAAAAACGTTTTCTTGCCTGTGTTTGAATTACGTGTGAACATTGCATTCGTGAATTGACTTACATATCGCACTTAGTAGCTTTTTGCCCCAATTGAGTTATATTTCACGACATACAAAAGGGCTAGGAGTTGAAACTGCATGCTGTAAATAAGTTCACGCGGTAATGCGAAGTACAACATCTGAACCACTTTATCTGTTGCCGGCTGCAGTTAAATAGATTAATGCAGTTTGTATCATTCTCTCCCTTTCTGCCCACTTTTAGGACTTTTCTTGTAATTTCGGCAGGACGCCTTTGGATTACGTTTGGTTGTTCTTTACCATGTTTACAGGAGTATAGTACCTCTCACAACTGGTCGAAATGCTCTTGTATCTCCTATTGAATTACTTCGGGTGAAATCAAGATTGTCGCCTGATGAACCATTTCAGCCGGTAGATTAATTTGGGTCTCCGGCTTAAATTCAAATTCGATTCGGCTCATGCGACGAGCGGCGTCTGAATCAGGCCTCAACTGATTTTAAAGAAAAGACAAAATGGTTTATGCTTGACACGTTATATTAGTGCAAACCTTTGTTTGCGAAGAGAGAAAAGCAACTAACAGACAAACGTGATTCGTGAATTTATGTGAAAAAAGCACCGTTAAAGGCAGCTAAAAGTATATTTGTTGCGTACATCTTTTCAAAATTCGTACGCGAAATGGGATCAAAACACCCATCGCTTTGCCACCTTCCATACATTAACTGCACCAGCCAGCTGTGATTTTCGCACACGTGAACAAACCATGCAACACCAACGCAAACTAACATAATAACACCCTGCATAAATGTTTTGCCTTCCAGTAATTTTAACGATGCGACCTATTTGCGTTGAGAAAATCAAAAAGCAAAAGTAAGCTAGAGAAATTTCGTATCTGATTTACAAATACACTAATGAATCTTCCTTTCTTACATTTTTAATGGGTTTTAACAATAAATTTCCTTTACTTCACTGGAGATAATTTCGTAATACACCTGTCACAATTACAAATAAGAACAGCTGGTAAACTACTGACTTGACCAAAAGATCGATAGATATGATTTTCATTCAAAGCGTTCTTGACTTTCCCTGAGCCATAACAGCTATACAAGATGATTCGGCAAAGTCTGATTTTAACAATTTTTCTCATCACATTTGCGACTCGCGCTGCAATACTAGGTAAGAGAATCAGATTGTACCTTTTAGCTTTATTGGACTAACAATAGGAGTTTACCATGATCAGTAAGAAAACCTAAGACAACACACTCATGTGCCAGACCTATATTCAGATTAAGTTGAAGCCTGTGAAAAAAAAAACTTTAATTTAGACCACGCCAAAAAAGTACCCTAGCCCAAGGTAAAGTTCAATAGGCCACTTCCAACTTGCCTTTGGTCTCTGTGTTAAAACGAGTCTTCGTGCAAAACCATTCATATAAGTGAAAATGGGTTCCACCTACATGTTTATTTTCATGCAAATCAAACCAGTTTCATATGAAAGGTTTTGCACGAAGACTCGTTTTGAAACAGAGGCACAAGATAACTCGGAAATGGCGTATTAAGGGTAGAGTTTTTTTCGTACGTATCCAATTCATGTGCTCAATACTTACTGTGCACTCTATTACTATGCCAAATTTCTTGGTTTAGACCAGGAGCCACCTGTGTTCACGTACTGTCCAAGTGACATAGTAATAGATGATGTTACAACACCTGAACACAGCGTTGAATGGCAGGAGCCTACATTCACGGATAATTCAGGCGTGTCGCCATCAGTAAGTTCCAACAGGCAGTCTGGATCCCTTTTCGCTGTTCCTGGCTCGTATGAAGTGCTATATGTGGCCATAGATGCGTCTGGAAACGAAGCAACCTGCAGCTTTCGAATAACCTTGAAACGTAAGTACGGAGCTAGCTCATTCCAAGCGCCGCGCTGATATGCTCATATGTTAAGTCTTCATCAACACTTGTCATGAGAAGTGTTGCATAATCAAACTTTCGTAATGATGTTGTTACAAATTGCTAACATGGTTTCTTCTTTTTATTTCCAGGCAAAATTTGCCCACTGTACGCACCCCCTAAGAACGGAGCATTAGCTTGTTACAAGACGGATGGCGTGGCTTATATCTGTGCTGCGATGTGCAAGAATGGGTCCGACTTTGTATTCAATCCTCCTATGCTGTATTTTTGTTCATCCGGACAATGGCAATTCTATGCCTTGCCTCCGCCATTCCCGTACTCGAAACAGCTTCCATGGCCTGATTGCTCAAGTAAGCAAATATTATTACTACTCATCACCGTTAGTAAAGGTATACTGAAAAAAAAAAATGACATTCACTGTAAAATCGTTGGATTGAAACGGCTAAATTACCAAGCGTTAGATACTATTGTTCTACCGGACGATGGAGATTTTTTTTTTCCGCTTAAAGCTTCATTCACGTTTTCCTCAATTTAATAAAACATTCAATCATATTATATTTGGCTTGACTTGGCCGGAGTGAAACACAACTAATTATGTTTTGGCTTTTTCAGACACCGCAAACCAGTCTTACATTAAAGAGTATGGATATCCCTACTTTTTCTTTGATGGTGATGCAAATGATCCTGACGTCCAAGCCGTCATAAAGACGAATTACATTTCCTTGTTGACCTCTCCTCTGGTCCCTCCATTCTTCTGTCTGCCGGAGGAACAATGCAAAGCGGATAACGTAGAAGCCTTTGCTGGCTCCTCAGGTATTGCAATATCAGCAGCCCGATTTGAGCATCAATTGGACGGTGTATTCGTCATGCTTGTAATTGGAAAGTACGCGTCATTTTTCGCGCGCTGTTGCGGTGCACTATGATGAGTAAACTGCTACGTTTTTCAGCATTCATAACGACGTTTAATCTATGGTTTGTTCGTTTCTCGAATTTTGTCATAGTTTTGATTAATTGGTAATAGGACATCGCGTCGTCCAATTCAGTCTGTAATCGTCCTCGTGATTAACAAATCGGACTCCCGCTTCGCGGTCGTCTGATTTTGTTAATCACTCGCATGATTACAGCCCGAATTGGACTTCACTCAATCCTATTACCATTATTTATTATTAGTAATTGTAATTGGACCTAGTGGAGTACAATTCAGAGAGTAATCGTCCAAGTAACTTCTTTTGAGCGAAAACGTCTGTAGCGCTTTTTATAAGTTTTTGTAGGAAACATAGCGAAGAAAGCCATTAAAGCGCGCGTAGTTGACGTTTCCCTAATTCGCAATTTTTTAAGTCTTCCATCGTTAAGTCTTCTTGGGAGCTGAATTAACTGGCAATATTTTAAAAGTCTCTTACAAAAGTTAGCAGAATTGGGCAAATGTTGCTAGAAAAGATGTAGACGACCGCCAGTTGGGACTGCAAGAGGAGACTAGCTTGAGGCACTCAAATCCATAAGCCTCCATTAATAATTAAAGGCGTCGTATCCAAACTTGCTTTTACTAAGGTCAGAACTGAGATACTGTAGTATATCAAACTTTTGCTCAGTTCCCGCTCTCAAAAACAACATATCATAACTCAATTCTAAGGCGTTTTGTCTTCTTTTTTTGCTTTGTTGCAGTTTGAAGTATCAGCTCAGAAGCACGTTGAAGCACAACTGGTGAAACTGGACGTTGCAAGAATCTACTGCATCGATTCTAGAATATAATTTGATGTACTTGCGACAGAAATAAATGTCCTTTGCTCTGAGAGGTCTCCTTTGAATTTGTTTGTTACCGTGTTAGTCGTCACACACAACCATTCCATGCAAAGACTCTCATTAGATAATTTAATAAATTTATGAAAAGTAAAGTGTTTGGGAATCTTTGAAAAGTCGCCAGAAACCTTCTGCACTAGTCTGATCCAGCATCTCGAAACACGGCGCTTCCTCGCTTTGCATTGCAAGTTTAACTTTGTTAAAACCCCTGGTAATTGGAATAAATTGGAGAGTATCTTAGAGTTGTTGTGGCCCAATATTATTATGATGACAGTTGTGACTGATGGAGTACTATCGAAGACGAATTCAAGTCATTTGAGTGTTGAAAGGTTATGCAGATAAGATTGGCAATTATTTCAGTAGTCATCATTACGTGTAATTACTACGTTCGTTTAGAAGTGAAATCAACATTTATAACATAAGGCGGGCGCTAGTCCTATCTAATTCCTATAGGCCCTTTGCACGATCCGGTCACATGGTACGGAATAAATTATGCTGGGACGCAAGCTACACAGTGGGACTTCCAAAACAAAGGAACTCGCACCAGTCCAGCCCGACTTTCCTTTGTTTTGAAAGTCCCACTGTGTAACTTGCGTCCCATCATAATTTATTCCGTACCATGTGACCGGATCCTGCAAAGAGTCTATTGAGGCATCATGAACGAAATCTCTATGTACCTCACGGCCGTGCGTATATAAGGTGACCTGTGCAGTTTCAATTTAGCTGCAAAATTTCCCTCGACTTTAGTGCAAGTTCCTTTTGTTTAAGTTTTGGCAATGTGAAGATTATTCTGAACAATCCAAACTCTACTTCGAGCTTTTAACTTTTGTTAAGCGAAGATGTTTACTTAAACGTGAGCATTTTGACTTTGTTTGAACAAAGGGGACTTTTGTCTGCGCATGCCCGAAAAAGTATGAAAGTTTTCTTGTTTTCACCTGGTTTTCGCACTTTTGCTTGAA